AGGTTGGCCCAGGATCGAGCATTGTTTCGTTCTGCTGTGCATGGGGTCGCTATGAGTCGGTTCCGACTCGATGGCACCTGACAACAACAACATGACAGGGTAGTACTGCTCCGTAGGGTTTCTGCGACTGTACACATATATGGGTGTGGATAGCCTCCTTTCTCCCCTACAGAGTGGTTGTTGAGTATAACTGCCAACTTTCTGGTTTGCATTGCAGCCCATTGCTTACCCATAGCTCCATAGGTCTCCTTAAATGAACTCAAGGTAGACTAAAAAGCATAGAATTGTAAAGTAATGGTAAGTTGCAAGGCCTTCAAATTATTATTTTTTTTTGACTTATCCTACTTCGGACATATTGTCAGGAGGGACCAGTCACTAGAGAAGGATATCATGTTTGGTAAGGTGGAGGGTCAGAGAAAAACAGGGAGACTCCCAATGAGATGGAATGGCCAAGTGGCAGCATCAGTGGACTCAAGCGTGGTAACGATAGTGAGGTTGGCCCAGGATCGGGCAGTGTTTCTTCGTTCAGCTGTGCATAGGGTCGCTATGAGTTGATACTGATTCGATGGCACCTAACAACAACCCGGTAGGCTATCCTGTCATAGAGTTGATTTTGATGCATAGTAGTCTGATGTAGATTTTCCAAGGCTGTAAATCTTTATGAGAGCAGAAAACTTCCCCTTTTTCTTGCAGAGCGACTGTGGGATTCAAATGTCTGACCTTGCAGTTAGTAGCCTAACCATAACTCACAGTGCCACTGGACTGTTTAAACAAAAGGTCTGCAGTTTAAACCCACCAACTACTCATTGGAAACTCTGTGGGTGATGATGGTTGTATACCATCAAGTCAGTTCTGAGTCATAGCCACCCTGTATAGGATTTCTGAGGCTGTAAGTCTGTATAGGAACAGAAAGAAAGCCTCAGCTTTCTCCCATGGAGCAGCTCGTGGATACAAACTGCTGACTGCAGTTAGCAAGCCAACTTGTAACCCACTGTGCTACGAGGGCTCCTTCAGAAACCTTGTACACAGTCGCATGATTCAATGGCACTTAACAACAACTACCACCTAGCAGGTTGGAGTGATGATTAATGATTTTATCTGCCATTTCTCCCTTATTTTCTTGTCTGAGTAATGAATCAGTATATGCACGTATGTTATTTTCATTCTGGTAAAAGGAGTGGCTGTCTTGGTAGTGAAAGGAGCTCTGGTGGCATAATGGTTATGCGTTTGGCTGCTAATTGAACAATTGACGGTTCTCACCCACCCAGCAGTACCATAGAGAAAGACATGCCGTTCTGGTCTTGTAAAGATTACAGCATAGGAAACCCTGTGGGGCAATTCTATGTTGTTACAAAGAGCCACTATATGTCAAAATTGGCTCAGTGGCCCCTAACAACATCTCATCAGTGGACAGTCAATGAGATATGTGTATGCTGTTTTTAGTCAGGTAAGGAGGGGACTTTTCCATATTTTAGTGTGGTTGTGAGCAGGTTTAGAGCATGCTTTTTTCTGGCTTCAGATTTTTAGAGCTATTAATACAAATCCCCAGATCCATCCAATCTTATTCTGAAAAGGATACAAAAAAAATTACCTTCACACATAAAAGCTAGGATTAGGTGAGGAGCTAAGGGAAGGGAGGTGTGTTTCCATGTACTGCGTTTTCTTTTGCCACTGTTCTGTCAGAAGTAAGTGACTGGATAGATCCAACTGATAACTCTAAGAATCTTTCCTGGATGGCTTTCTTCCATCCCTACAACCCTTTTCATTCCTACTCCACCACCTAACATACATACACAAAAACAGTTTAAGTTTAATGTAAGTACCCAATTCGGACAAAATTGTGGGGCTAGATTAACTAATCTAGTAAACCTGTCAACTACAAGGTTGATCATTCAAACCCACCAGCTGCTTCTCAGAAACCCAATACAAGGTTGCTATAGTCAGAACCGATTCGATGGTACTTAACAGCAACAGTAAACCTTAAACTTATTTTTATGTATGTCTTTTTTATCTCATAGAGGGCAAATGAATCTCTATTACGAAAGTGGCATAAATATGAGGGGGCTTCAAAAAGTTCATGGAAAAATGGAATGAAAAGATAGAATTTTTCCGTGAACTTTTTGAAGCCCCTCATATAGTTTTGTTAGTATTTTAATGTTGGGAGGAGAGAAGCAGAAACGTAATGACTAAAGTATGGAGTTGCTATTAGGATCAACTCTAGATTCCTTAGTGCATATATGTTTGTGTGTGCAG